TATCCTGTTTTGGTTACATATGACTGGTATGCACTACACAAATGTTGGAGTAACTGGTAAGGATCATCTTAATTATCTTAATTAGTACGTCTATTAATTATTTCTTTTACCCCCATTTTCGCGTAGATAACATGGTTGGATTCAATCTCCCATCGGTGACCCGTACTTTCCCAACCACGGCAATGGTGGATGGCTCGATGATGAGCCAGAAGAGAATCATGCAATTCCATTGGATGATGACTTCGCAGAGAACTTCCCGGAGGATTCTGACTCCGAGCCAGAAGTCAATGATCAACCCCTGGTAGCTCCAATCCCAAATCCTAACCCGTCCGCTTTTCAAGGCCCGACGCCTCTGTGGGTGGAAAGTTTGGAGACATGGAGTCAAGAACAGGTCAACCCATGCCATACAACGGAGACAGAAGTTTCTACAACTTGAGCGGGGAGGCTCAGCGGACAGAGTCCTGCCTATTCTGGTCCGCAGGGTTGCTCGTAACGAATACAGGGTAGGACAGCCCTCAACCGAATCGTGAAGTTGATGCCAATGCGAGGTTAATACTATCCGCATTCGTCGTCTGGAAGATGCTCGTGAGAGAACTGCTAGAGACCATGAGCTCTACTGCCAGGAGCTAGCTGTGACTCGAGCCGAAGTCATAGAACATCGCGTGCGTCAGCGAGTGTACGAGCGACGCCTTCTTGACTGGAGCGTCAGCTGCTGACTTAAGGGTTCGCCCAAGGGTTCCCGTCGCCAGTAGGGAATGCTCTGCTCAAATTTCCTTTTACCTAGGATTAGCCTTCTTATCTATGCTCTAAGTAGCACTTTTCCCTGTAATTTCCTGTTATCTAAGACCTTGAACTTTCAGGCTATTAGGTCTTTATTCTGTCAAAATTTTCCTATCCTGGTTGATGTAAGACCTACTTCTAGGTCATTTTCCCGAATTGTTACATCTGTAATACCAATATTATTGACAGATATCTAATCTCATGGAAATTAATATCCAAATGCTTTCATCTTTCTAGTACTAGATCTCTATTCAATCATACTTTCATCTGTGTTGTTGGGCTATGGAGAGTTAGTCCATGAGTCACTCTCATCATTCTCTCTATTAAATTCTTACCAATATCTTCATCTTTGTGACTTTTAGCTTCAAGATGCCTCCGCGTAGATCGAACAGGGCGCTACTACTCCAATAACTCCGAATCAAACTCCACTCCTCCTCCTCAATACAACCAACAGCTATCAAGCTGCTGTGAATGCGGCTGTTACGGCAGCCCTAGCACAATTCACCACTACCGGTACTAGCGGGAGTGGAACTAATGTGCCTCCCACTATAGTTGAAGCTCCAGTGCGCTCTAGGGAGTGCTCGTACAAGGACTTCACCAGCTGCAAACCCAGGGCCTTCAATGGACTGGCGGAATCATTGCCCTCTCGCAATGGTTCGAGAAAACGGAATCGATCTTTGAGATCTGTCCTGTCCGGAAGGGAGCAAAGTAAAATTTGCTGCCTGCACCTTCGCGGACCGAGCCCTGACATGGTGGAATAGCCATGTCAAGTCACTAACTCTGATAGTGGCAAATGCCATGGGCTGGGAAGCTCTTAAGGAGCTCATGATCGAGGAATACTGCCCGAGGGGCGAAGTTCAGAAACTTGAACAGGAAC